AAAAAATGCAAGTTTTTTTTTTTCTTAAAGTCTTGAAAAGACAATACATTAGATATGTAATAATATACTGCATATTAATATTATGCAGTCATCTATTCAGCCAGAAAGCAGATGTCTCATTGTTAAATAGTTAGCACAAAATAATTTTCAGCAGTGCCAAAAGAAGCCATTTGTTTACAGAACTCAATAAGTCATCATACCAGTGACCTATTCCTCATTAAATGGTTGAGGTTTCAGACAAGCAAAGCTGCAAAGCAAGCTTCTCTGATGCGCTCCCGCTTTGGTTAAACCATAAAGCTTTGGGAACCAGAGAACTTCCTTCTAGTTTATACAAGATCCAGATGCTTGCTAAGGATGCTAAAAATCCCAGTTTTATTGATGGTAAAAACTACTCTTGCTTGTGATCTGTGTGCATTGTGACTGACAGTTCCAGCTAGTGTATAATTGTCACGTACCTGATGGGAGACTGAATTTACGAGGTCGGCCTCACTTGTGTCACTAGTCCTGACCCCGCTGAGGTTGGAACAGAGGGAGTCTAGGGACCAGGGGGACAAGAGCGCCAGTGGTTTGCTTGTGGCTCTTGCGGATGATGGCCTTGGTAGGCAGGGTATCAGTGGCTTAGGGTACTGCAGCGATAGCCCAGGCAGATTTGGTGGATTGCCAGATGCACGGCAGAGCCAGGAGACAGCACTGGAGTGGAGTTGTAAGAGCCCAGGCAGGTTTGGTGGATTGCCAGATGCACAGCAGAGCCAGGTATGCAGCCAGGAGACAGGACTGGAGCGGAGTTGCAGGATAGCCAGGGTCATAACAGTCGGGCAGCGTGGTACCGAATCAGAGGGAGAAACCAAAGTCAGGATCAGAACCAAAAGTCAGGAACCAGGGACAGGAGAGTACTCAGAGTCAGGAACAAGCTGGGTCAGCAACAAGGAACACGTATTGAAACAGGCAGGACACAGGGGGGAAGCTGAAGACCAGTCAGCACTGAATCAGCACCAAGGTGCTCTTTAAATAGCCCACCCAGCGCCGACAGGTGCGCCTGGGTCCTAGTGCCTGCCCGGCGCCGTCATTGGTGATAGGCGCGCCTGGGTCCTAGTGCCTGCCTGTTTGCCTTGTCGGGATCCAGATTCATGCGCTGCGGCGATCTTCTTGTTCCCTGACAATAATGAACAATGAAGGACCCTGTCATTCACTCTCTGCTTCCAATCCCCTTCCAAACACAAAAAGCCTTGTATGCTTCTTTTGCAAAATGCAGGGAACAGGAGGAGTGGGTAAATGACAGGATCCTCTCGTGTATACTTATGGAGCACCTTGTATTTTGTGAAAACAATACAAGGCTTTTTACAAATAGACAAGGGGACGGGAATAGAAGAGTGAGAGCCGGCTGGCATATATGCAGATTGGATGCTGCTTGAACCCCATCCAATCCACATGATGTGAAAATAACATTGCTTCACATACGTCTGATGCACTTGGCAGTGCGGATTCAGTGTGGACTGAAAAAGAGTCCTATCCGCTTTCTGAGCAGTGCGGTCCAGTTCAGGTGCAGATTACAGGCTCATTGATTTCTATGGGAACCGCTTTTGAATCGCACATGTCATGGTTTCTGAACATGATTTCATGTCGGTTTTCTCTTCTGATCCTGATGTAAATCTCACCTGATCTAAACCTGACCTGAACTGCTGAACAACTATTTTGTAAAATAGCTGTGAAAACAGAGCTTCATGTATAAACTTAAAATAGATAAACAAGGCCTCAAACCATTATATAACACTTGTAGTTGAACACGTACCAATTTGTTTTACTTTGAATAAATGGAGAAAGAATTTAGCTCTTCCTTGTGTTTCACGGCTGTCTGATGCTCCGCTGAGATTTCCCTTTATTTCATATACTGGTGACAATAAGAAGACTGTAGTACATTGTTCACATATTGCTTACCTATCAAACATATTGTATAAAGATGCAAACAAAGCCAGATCCTGGACCTCTCTGCAGCCTGCACAGCATTTAAAGGGAATCTGTTATGAGAGAAGTGGGGGCCATTGCTGTTCTTCTTCTGAGAATGCTAGTTGTATGGTTGCATCTGGATTCAGTGAACTGGGACAAGCATGTTATAAAGGAGTGTAAGAATCTTTTTTTTTTTCTTTTTTTGTTGACCCGTTACCTAAATGCAGAATCTGAAGTGGTTGTTCTTATTCTTTCTGACTACTATGTTAGACAATGACCCAGAACAAATATGTGCATATCAGGGGAAAAAACACTTTTTTACAACTGGATTAAATTATGTGCCTGGAGTTCAGCTTTAATCTCTGCTGAAGGAAAGAATATGCCTGTTTCTTTTTCAACATAAATAAATGTTAAGTCAAAATTCCCCATGAGTATATTAAATAAATTCTGTAGTGTAAGTTATGGCTGGCAGATGCACCCCTTTCAGACAGTGGCAGGGGAAAAATGAGGTGCTTTACACTCTTCCAGCTGTTGGAAGTCATTCTTTGTTTCTTCCCTATAGGAGTCTTTAGAAGCAGAGTCCCCTTTTCAACATTTTCTGGACACCCAGTAGCAGATTGTAAATGAAAGCTGTGGCCTCAACAGAGAGCTCAGCTGGTCTTGAATCATCAGACAGAGAGAGAACAGCGGGATGGATCATAACTTCACCAGTTCATTGCTGGAGGCACTTGGCAAGAATTACACAGCAGTATGTGTCAGGTCCCTCCAGGAATGAAAGGTTTAAAGAGAATGAGCCAGCAGTGTTAGGAACATGAGGAAAACGAATAAACCATTCATACTTGTAATATTCACTGACAGCAGTAAAACCACTAAGCAGGTTTTTTGCTGTGAACATAATATGGGTATCAAATATTATCTAGCAAGATGGTAAATTTTTGTTTGCATTTTACTATGTACCCTGCTAGTAAATGCCTGTGACTTGGGATTTTATTATGAGTGATTTATTTATATTTGCTGGCAATAAACACGAAAAGGGAACAAACTAGTATTAAAAATTAGCAAGTAGAAAAACAACATTCTATTACATCATTTCTTGGTATTTTTTCTGTACTACTGTGAATCATATATATTATAAAAAAAAGTAACTGTAGCATCTTTTTAGAATAAAGCAAAAAACATTTTGAAAGTGAACGATCGGTGATATGAGGTACTTCTCAAATCTCAATGGAAGAACAATCATCTACAGAAAACAAAACACACACACACACACACACACACACACTTAGCAAAATCCAGGTGTGTTCTCTGTATGATGAAAATCTACGAGCTGCCATTATGCACTGTTGATGTTTGAACCTTATTAAAGAACTAATTAAACTTAAGTAAAATTGTTCATGCTCTAATACTAGGAATGCCAAGATATTTAGAAATAACCAGAACCATTATTATCATAGCTCTTAAAGTGGAACTAAACCCATTGATGTAACAGTTTTTAACAAACAGTTACATTTCCTGCACGTGCCAAGAATGTAACAGTCACATTTGCTTGTGCTCTCAACCAAACTGTCATGCCATCAAATGGATGGTGTCATAACATGTGCATCACCATGGCAGTTCAAGACCAAAAAGAGGCTAAGATGGCAGCTTCCTTGGCTGAATATAGGAGGTTTTAGTTCCATTTAAAAAAAAAATTTACTTGCAAGGCACCGTAGACTAGAACCTCAAGGAGGAGCTAATTTATGACCTATGCAAACATTGTGCTGAAGTTTATAGCAACCAACAAGATTTCCTCTGAGTATGAAAGCTGGACACAGTCAACATGTTCAGCAGCTTCACTTTTTCTCTAGGATTTACAAATCAACCCACACAATATTCAAATTGTTAATAAATAATAAAATAACAAATCAGGACTATTTGGTCAAAACAAATTGGTGAAATTGCTTTGGTATAGTAATTCTACAGAAAAAAAAATATAATTATGTTTTAAATACTTTGTTTTATATGAAGTAAACACATTTTTAAACACAACTGACCACATATAAACTCCATGAAACTGACTTATTTTCTCTTCAATCAACAACACAGATCTTTACAAAGTAGGATGGAAGAAAAAAAAAAACATCCCTAGTCTTGTTCTATTTTATATAGATGTAATATAATAAAACAGCCCGTATTGCACAGAATGATCAGAGACCTTAATTAAACCTTACTTTTCCCAGCTCCTCTCTATAAATGGGTACCTTGCAAATTACCAGTGTACAAATAACACTTATTAAGTGTAACTATGGTTGTTAAAATGTTCAATGTGCTCTGTGGAAATGGTGGATAGAAGATTAAGAGACAAAATGATTCCATAACCGGATAAAACAAAAGTCTTATTTTTTAGACACAGGAAATTATATTTTTCAGTACAAATTGTACTTTGAAAAAGGCCATAAAATTGCTCCAAATAGACTTGAACACAGTGTACGATTTTCGGATTTTAAGACCAAATCGCAGTACATATATGTTGTTTTACTACTGTTGCTTTTTTAACAAATGTAAAAAGCAGACATATAAATGTGATGGACAGATAGCCACTGCATCCAAAAAATACTGTTACATTTTAAGGAACCCTTCACACCTGTCCATTCTATTGTTGTGCACTACTATATCCACATGAATGTGTGGTATTTCATGTGTAAATCTGTTGTGTTAAGGCAGACCATTTATTTAGAAGGAAACCCAAACATGTACCCTTTTAGGTGCATTCCTCTAAAAGAACATACAGCACTGGGCTACAGCCTCAATGGCCCTCAGAGACAAGGGGTATGTTGAGTGGAGGACACAACCAACAACAAAGTGAGGGGGGCTGGCCAGATCTAAAGTCCTGATGGATTCTCCCTGATCTAGTGTCCTGACTGTAGTTATATCAGAATGGGGATCACCTGATTAACCACCTTCCGCCCGCCCTATAGTACAATGACGGGCGCAAGTTGGTTCTCTCGTTCTGATAGGACGTCATATGATGTCCTTCCATTCTCAACGCGCAAGCGTGGCTCAGGGGAGTGCAGCGCATGCGCGGCGATCGCCGATGCGCTGTGTTCATCGGACACAGCGGATCACGGAAAGAGCCAAAGATGTCGGCTCGGTCATGTGATCAGCTGTGTCCAATCACAGCTGATCACATGTAGACACCTAAATGCCGGTTATCGGCATTTCTCTCCTCTGGAGCTGTCACGCTGACAGCTCGAGAGGAGAGGAGAGCCGGTAATCTGCTTTCCGCGGAGGGGACATGTACACTGATCATCAGGGCACTGATGATCAGTGTGCCCTGATGATCAGTGTGGCCCCAGAAGTGCCACCTGTCAGTGTCCATCAGTGCCAGCAGTCAGTGCTCATCAGTGCCATGTGCCAGTGCCCATCAGTGCCACATCAATGCCACATATCAGTGCATACCAGTGCATATCAATGCCACATATCAGTGCCCATCTGAGCTGCCTTTCAATGTCACCCATCAGTGCCAGTCAGTGCCACCTATCAATGCCTATCAGTGCCGCCTATCAGTGCCAGTCAGTGCCGCCTATCTGTGCCAGTCAGTGCAGCCTATCAGTGCCAGTCAGTGCCATGTATCAGTGCTGCCTTTCAGTGCCCATCAGTGATGCCTGTCAATGCCCATCAGTGCAACCTACCAGTGCCTCCTCATCAGTGCAGCCTATCAGTGCCCATCACTGCAGCCTCCATAGCGCACATCAGTGAAGGAGAAAACTCACTTATTTACAAAATTGTATAACAAAAACTAAGAAAAAACTTTTTTTTTTTTCAAAATTTTCAGTGGTTTTTGGTTTGTTTAAGAAAAAATAAAAATCCCAGAGATGATTAAATACCACCAAAAGAAAGCTCTATCTGTCTCAAAAAATGATAAAAAATTTCATATGGGTACAGTGTTGCATGACCGTGCAATTGTCAAAGTGCGACAGCGCTGAAAGCTGGAAATTGGCCTGGGCAGGAAAGGGAGTATAAGTGCCCTGTACGCTAGTGGTTAAATGTTGCAGGTAGGTGATTTTTCATAAGCTTCATTTATTGTAACTGAAATGCAATTTTTTGTGTTTCACCAATCAAAAGAGGACCTGTAGCTGTATCTTGGGTACATCAATGAAAACATTTTAACTCCTGACTCCACAACAGGCATCCGACTTCTGCATCAATGTGTCCACCGATAAATGTACTTATTTATTTATTACAGGTACTTATATAGCACCATCAATTTATGCAGTGGTTTACACATGAGGGTTCTTCAAAAATTTTCCACACTTTTTTTTAACACTCTGTATACACTGTGTGCAGAATTATTAAGTGAGTGAGTATTTTGACCAAATAATTTATATGCATATTGTCCAGCTCCAAGCTGTATAAACCTGAAAGCTGATTGGATTTAAGCATATAAGGTGATGTGTATTTGTGTAATGAGGGAAGAATGTGGCATAAGGAGATCAACACCCTATGTCAAGGTGTGCATAATTATTAGTCAACTTCTTTTCCTGAGGCAAAATGGGCCAAAATAAAGAGATTTAACCGACTCTGAAAAGTACAAAATTGTAAAAAGTCTTTCAGAGGGATGCAGCACTCATGAAATTGCTAAGATAGTGGGGCACGTACACAGAACCATCAAACGCTTAGTTGCAAATAGTCAATAGGGTTGCAAGAAACGTGTTGCGTTAAAAAGATGCAAATGACCTCGGGGGCAGTCTGCTTGGGGAGTGAGACTTGGAGGGCTAAGCAACATGGTATATGTTACACCCTAAATATGGGTGTAAAAGTATGCTAAATGTTTGGTTTTTAGATTTTGCAGACAGATGTATTCTGGGATCATTCTGTACACCAAGTGTGTAGAGAATACCACCGGGTTGCCATCTTGTACAAAAGCATCGACATACAGTACAAATTGGTTTATTTCTTTATTTACATTTATTTTATTCATGTGGATATGAGCAGCACAGTGGCTAAGTGGTTAGCACTTCTGCCTAGCAGCACTAGCATGATTGGTTTGAATCCCAAGCATGGCACTACCTGTACAGAGTTTGCATGTTCCCTTAGACATAAACAAGGAATTAACCCTTGCAGTGCAGGCACAGCCCCATTGCAAGTGTTTTTTCTTTAATTTGCACAGATTTGGGCTTTAAGTAATGTTATTTAATTAAGTTTTGGTACATGATATTGAAGGAAATGTGCTAGGTTTTATTTTATTAATGTAAATTTGGGTGGTGTTACACTCTTCCAAAGCAGCATCTGAAAGATAAGAAAATGAAAAAAAAACCAGGATGGATTATTGTCAATGTATTTCACCAGCAGACCACACAAGAAGGGGCCCATAATAAGTGCTGCTGATCATCTGACCACTCACACCTTTTTTTTTTACCTAGCTCATTTGTTTGTGGCGTTGAACAGCTTGGATAGCATCAGAAACTTGTTCTGTCATCTGTACTGAAAGATAGCCAAAGAATGCAGATTACTTTAGAACTTCTGGCTGTCAGCCTGAGATAAATTAACATAGAAGCACCAATGCTTGTGAACATATCAAAAGCCAGGCATACTGGTCATGGGACCCACAGGGAGGCTTATTGGGAGGGCACTGTCAGCAAACGTAGTTCCTATTTCAAATGCAAATCCTGACTGATTTACTTGCTAAATATGTTGGACACACGTAGTGTTGAATATACAGATGGTAATAAAATGCAGCAGAAGTTGTTTTGTTTAACAGGGTCCATATAAGTAATAGTTTAGCAGAAAATATAGGATAGAATTAGGATTCAGATTAAAAAGCTTCTCTTTTGCTATAATCATGCTTCTAATCTAGGAAGTTTTATAACCATACATTTACAGCATTGTGTGTTTTGTGTCTGGTAGGTGTTGATAATAGTGAGGAGTTGATGAAGTCTTTCTTCATTATTTGCACTGGGACCAGGGGAGTTTGATGATCACCTTAATTCCTTTAAGCATACCTCCCAACATTTGAACTTTAGAAGGAGGGGCACCTGGAGGGGATCTATGCACACAGTGGCAAAAGTGTGTGTGGCTAAATTATACAAAAAATGTATGTGGCCTTAAGAGGCTTGGTTAATTAGAATCTGTGCTTACTCAATAGTACACAGTGCCCACATTTTCCACAGTCCTTACATTCACTAAATATTTCTTAATTACTGTGCTATGATCACCGATGCATACAAAATTATTTTTAAAGTAATAAAATAAAAGAATATAGACAGAAAGCTAATTTTTTTTTCTGAGCCTACTGAATGGCAGTTGGAAACTACAGACCAACCAGCAACTATTGAGACAACAAGCACATTGATCAGTGGTTAGCACTATGTAATCTACAAAATCATGTACAGAGTACAGCAGTCAGGACTATGTAACATACAACATTGTATGTGGAACAGTCCAGAGTATGAGTCATAGTGCTCCTTATATTGTTGGTCAACGGGAGAAAAGAATGTCTAGCATTAGTGGTATGTGGGAGGAAAAACTGACCCAGTTTTAGAGATCAGTGGAAGGAAAAATGGTAGGGAAAATGGCCCAGTGTCTGTGGAAGGGAAAAGTGTCAAAGAAAAAAAAATGATATCAAGGGGTGGGGAAAGCACTTGTGTTTAATGGGCTCTACATATATAGTGACATCACCTAGATTGCGTATGAGAGGCAGAGCCCAATGCTTGATTACAACAATGGGCAGCAGCAGGAGTATATGCTTTAACCTTTACTGCTGTATGTCAAGCAGTAGACAGAGGGAAAATCTCACTGTCTGAATACAGAGACAGGCATCGGGACATAGTGGAATTATCCTGGAGTTCACAGGACCCTAAAATTTCCCACACACTTTGGGACAGTCCTGTCAAATTCAGAACTGTTGGGAAGTATGAATGCTTTCACAGTCAGTGGGGGAAAAAGTGTCCAGGTCAGTCAGTGGAATGGTGATCATCCTCAAGAACAGTGGATGGAAGAATGCCCTTGCAGTCAGCAGGATGAAAAATACCCCAGCAGCCAGTAAGAGGAAGAATGCCCCAGCAGTCAGTGGGAGGAAGAATACCCCAGTGGTCAGTGGGAGGAAGAGTGCCCCAGTTTCATGAGTCAGTGAAAGGAAGACTGTCCTAGCAGTCACTGGGAGGAAGAATCAGCTGGTAGTCAAAGAAGGGAAGAATATCCTGTCGGTCAGAAGGATGAAGAATTATCAAGCATTCAGTGGCGGATATACTGCTCTGGCAGTTAGTGGGGGGGGGGGGGGGGAGAGAATGCCCTAGCAGCTAGTGGGAGGAAGAGTACCCCACTGTCAACAGTCAGTGGAAGGAAATCACCCTGGAGGCCAGTGGGAGGAAGAATGTCCTAGCAATTGGTAGGATGAAGAATGCCCCAGTGGTCAGTGAGAGGTAGAATGTCCTGGTAGTAAGAGGGAGAAAGCCCTGGCTGTCAGCGGGAGGAAGAATAATTAAGCACGAGATTGTGTCAAACGCGTTAACAGGTCCTGTATTCATCTCCTGGTGTTTTGTTTGTCCTATACATTAATAAATATACACTATATTCATCAATCCTCCGGTGTGCCGCTGACCCTTCTTCCTGTTGCATCATGTGTGGTAGAGAGCCAGAGCCTGTACCTGTTGTGGATTGATCTGGATTGTTTGACTGAGCTCTGTTCTTAGGAAGAATGCCCTGACTGTCAGCAGGAGGAAGAATGCCCTGGCTGTCAGCAGGATGAACAGTGCCACAGAATCAACAGCCAGTGAAAGGAAGACCATCCTTGTGGTTAGTGGGAGGAAGAATGTATTAGCGGTTTGTGGGAAGAAGAATGCCTCAGTGGTCAGTCAGAGGAAGAACCTCCTCCCAGTGGTCAGTGGGAGGAAGAATGCCTTGGCAAATAATGGACTGAAGAATGCCTTGGCAGTCATTGGGTAAAAGAATGCCCGGGGGTCATTGGGAGAAAGAGTGCCTTATTGTCAGACGTCAGTGGGTAGAAGATTGCCAGTCAGTATAAAGAATTCCCTGGTGATCAGCCAAAGGAAAAATTCTGTAGCAGTTATCAAGACACTGAATGCCCTGGCAGTTAGTGGTAGTCATCAGTCAGTGAGAAGAATTCCCTGGTGAGCAGTGGGTGGATAATAGCCCACAGGCAGTCAGCAGGAAGAGGAATGCCATGGCAGCCAGTGGGAGGAAGAATGCACTGGCAGCCAGTGGGAGGAAGAATTCCCTAGTATCAGTGGGAGGAAAAATGCCGTTCTGGAGTGATTTTAATATATAGAGAACAGTTATGGCCACAGAGCATATCTAGTTAAAAAGTCCTCTTTTACACCAGCAGTTGGGTGGCATTAAAACCACACAGCTGAGCTGCGTCTCTGTTGAAAGGACCAAATTTTGATCCAAGTATGGCTGGCTTAAAAGTGAGGATGTAGAAATTGAAAGAGCTGATCAGGATGTTCAGGCAAGATAAATAATATGGAAAAGCTTACAATCTAATAGTGAATGTGGTAAGATACAGAAAGGGCTCTATGTGGTAGAAAAGATGATACAGAAAGCGGAATAAATTAAAATCTATTAGGGTATATGAAAAGATGCAGAAGGTGGAATATTTTATAATCTAATGTTGGACTGGATAAACTTGTATATTTTTCCAAACAGATTAACTATGACTGTAACTGTAACTATTAGGGTGTAACAGAGGATGCAGAAGAAGAAAAAAAAAAAAAAAAAAAAAAAAAAAAAGAGTACAGTATAATAGGGTATAAAGAAAAAGACAGAAGCTCTTACAATAAATTAGGGTATTTAGGGAGGTTATAGAAAATAGAAGAGCTCACAAGCTTTTTTTTTGGGGGGGGGGG